AGGTTTTTTGTGAGTACAGTCAAGTACTCTGGAATTCCTGTTCTTCACAGTGTTATCCATAATTTGTTATGATCTACATAGTTCAATGTTTTTGCACCGTCAGGGAAACACAGGTAAACATCTGTCTGGTATTCTTCTCTACTTTCAGCCGAGATCCATCTGACACCAGTATTGATGGTGCCCCATTCATGTCTTCTTCTGAATCGGACTTGAATTTCCGACAGTTCCCTGATGGTTTTTTAATTAACGTCAGTAAAATTCTATTTGTGTGTGATATTGATGATAAAAAACCTCACTGCCATCGAGTCGATGCCAACTCATCGCAACCCTGTAGGACAGGGTAGCATTGCCCCTGTACATTTCTGAGACTGTTCATGGGAATAAAAAGCCCTATATTTCTCCCATGCATTGTCTGTTGATTTTGAACTGCTGACCTTGCAGTTAGTAACCCAATGCATAACCACTGTATTAATGATATTGTTTGATAATTTATGTATTGCACTGGATCACCTTGCTTTAGAATGGACACACATATGGATCTCTACCCATTGGCTTGCCACATGGCTCTCAAATCAATTTCTTGCTATAGATAAGTGAGCCCCCCGTCATGTTTTTGTATTAATATCTGTATTTTATTCCAGGGAGTAATCTTTTATGTTTGTTTGTTTGTCTTTAGTTGCTGCTTCAGAGAAAGTATCACATAAGCAAGAGCCCTTTCGGAATCTTCAGAGCTAAATTTCCCCCTGCAGATGGTTTAGCTGTTGTCGACTCTACAGCTTCTCTCTGCCCTCCTGCTAGTCTCTTAAGGTGGAGAATGCACACTGAGCAGTTCCCAGGTCCCACTGGAGAGGGCTCTCCTCTCAAGCATGCTCCGAATAATCCATTAGATACTTCCTTCTTCCTTAAACTTCTACCATCCCACTTTTGGCAGATATTCCTTCTGGAGGAGACTACATGGTACATGGAAAGAGCATAGATTTTAGACTGTCTGGCTCAGATCTACATATCCCAATTTATTATTAACTATAACAATGGACAGGTTACTAAGTTTCCTCATCAGTAAATTGGGGACAAAAAAGGCTGGCCTAGATGAGATTGTTTTTGAGATTAAAGAGTAGGTTTAGTAAATCGTATGATTCTGTAATCCCCTTCAGTATAGCGCCCAGTGGCAGAATCCTAAGCTTACACCAGCTAATACACATGCCTTGTTTTTCTTCTGTGTCCCGGCTGCGAAGTGCTGTCACTAGAAGCCCTGACTCATGACCTCAGCTGAGATTTCGGTGCTGCTCAGCAGTTGTTCTGTGTGGTCTTCGTTGGCCTTCTTCCTGCCCTATGCAGAGGTCAGAAATCGGGTCCCAGAAGGATGGCTTTATTGATGTGCTTTCTTTGGGCTTGAGGTTTGTTTTGCTTTTCTTCTATGTTGGGATTTGTTGCAGGCATTTAGAATTAGGAAACGTCAAATAAAAGGTAAACTCTAGTTTCTTTTGAAAATTGCATGAGCTAAAGTTTGGAGCACATGTTCGCCATTGGCTTCTTCCTGAGACAGGCTTAGCCTCTCCAGTTGGCCTCCTCTTCCAGCATTCCCTGTGGACTCACACTGCTCATTAGACTCAACGTCTTTCTCCTTTGAGACTGGGACCATTTGCTTTTGAGCCTAAACAAGTCCTGTAGGGTCTGCTTTCTTAAAATCCTTCTAATCTACCCCTGGGTGGCACACTTGGCATCCATCTACTAACTGAAAGGTTGGCGCTTTGCACTCATCCAGCAGAGGTGAGGAAGAGAGTCCTGGAGACCTGCTTTTGTAAAAATTGCAGCCCGGAAGACAATGTGGCGCTGCGTTCTCGGTAATAACACAGGGTCACCATGAGTTGGATTAGCAAGCGGTTAATCTGTCACTGTATCTTCATTCCCAAGGCCCTCCGAGTCCCCTTCTAGAGTAGTGCCCTACCCTGTTTCTTATCTCCTAAAGATTGTCTGCAGTCTGTCTTCCACGTACTGTCAGATTCCTCTTACTACATTGCCAATTGAGTCACCTTCCTGTCACGTACCAGATGCTTTATTACCTCTCCTTAACCTGAGTGAAATTCAAATGGCCTGGCATGCTGTTGGAGCTGTGCATGATCTGGCCGCTAACTCTAGCCACTTAACTGTGTGCCTTGGTTTTCCCTTCTGGACCTTGAAGGAAATAATAGTTTTTACCTATAATGTTATAACAAATCCAAACATATTGCCAACAAGTGAGTCCCCACTCACAGCTACCCTATTGGGCAAAGTAGAACTGCCTCCATGGGGTTTTCATTGGCTGTGCTCCTTACAGGAGCTGACTCCTTCATCTTTCTCCCTTGGATCAGCTGGTATGTTTGAACCGCCAACCTTTCAGTTAGCAGCCGACCACGTAACCACTGCACCACTCGTGCTCCTGTGTAGGGTTACGACCCTTTTGCCACTGAGTCAGTTTTGACTAGGAGAGACCCAAAGGACACCTGCCACATTGTTCTCTTGTGGAGGAGCAGCTGCTGCGTTTGAACCCCTGGCCTTTCCATTAGCAGCCAGGCTTCTGTGGTTCTATGGAGGAAACATTTGAAATGTACTAAAGCACTTGGCAGGAAATTTGATACTTTGTAAGTGTTCGTTTAGTATTCAACTCAACCAAACTCACTGCCATGGAGTCAGTTCTGACTCATAGGGACCCTAAAGAACAGGGTGGGACTGTCCCTGTGAGTCTCCAAGACAGTAACTCTGTGGGATTAGACAGCCTTGTTTGGTGGCTTCAAACTGCTGACCTTGTGGTTAGCAGCCTGACGCATAACCAGCACAGCACCAGGGTTCCTTCGATAAGTATTCGCCATTGGTTGTGTTTTTTTATCGTTTTATTAGGGGATCATACAACTCTTATCACAATCCATATATATCAATTGTGTAAAGCACATTTGTACATTCATTGCCCTCATCATTCTCAAAACAATTGCCTAAGCCCCTGGCATCAGCTCATTTTTTCCCCTCCCTCCCTGCTCCCCCTCCCTCATGAACTCTTAATAATTTATAAATTATTATTTTGTCATATCTTTCCCTGTCCGACGTCTCCCTTCACCCACTTTTCTGTTGTCCATCCCCCAGGGAGGAGGTCACATGTAGATCCTTGTCATCGGTTCGCCTTTTCCAACTCACCCTCCCTTTACCCTCCCAGTATCGCCACTCACACCACTGGCCCTGAAGGGATCATCCACCCTGGATTCCCTGTGTTTCCAGTTCCTATCTGTACCAGTGTAGTACATCCTCTGGTCTAGCCAGACTTTCAAGGTAGAATTGGGATCATGATAGTGGGGGTGGGAGTGGGAGGAAGCATTAAAGAACTAGAAGAAAGGGTATGCTTCATCAGTGCTATACTGCACACTAACCCTAACTGGCGTATGTCCTCCCTGTGACCCTTCTGTAAGGGGATGTCCAGTTGACTACAGATGGTCTTTGGGTCTCCACTCCACATTCCCCCTCATTCACAATGAAACAGTAACTCTTGATGGGAGTGGAAAGCCTTATTTTTGCTCTAGAAAAGCGGCTGATGGTTTTGAACTTCTGATCTTGTGGTTATCAGTCCAACAGGTAACCCACTATGCCACCAGGGCTCCCTGGCTCTTTTAAATGCTGAATGCCTGAATGAATGAGTGAATGAATCAAGCTAGATAGCAGAAGACAATTAACATTTATAACTCTACTGGATGAGTTCAAAGCACCACCTTTCAATTAATAGATGAATGCTAACTGTGCCACCCAGGGGCAGATTAGAGGGATTTTAAGAAAGTAAAACCTGCAGGACTTGGTTAGGCCAAAAAGCAAATGGTCCCAGTTCCGCCCAGCCTATCTGAACAGTAAGCCTGGTCTCTGATGATTTTGAGTTCTCTCTGCCACATTTTCTCCCATTCTATCCACGACCTTCTAATGTGGTCCTTTCAGAGCAGTTAGTAGTGGTAGCCTGGCATCATCTAGTTCCTGCCTCTGGACAGAAGATATCAAGCTGTACCTTACGTGGCTGCTCACAAGTTAAGAACCCAGTCTTTGGTCACCAAAGTAGGATGTAGAACATTGTCTTTGTGAATTATGTTATACTGGTAGATCTTGGTGCCTCCAGACTAAGACCCTAATTCCCCAGGCCCAGTAGTACCTCAGGGTGTAACAGGACTATTTTTTTGTTCTACATTGCAGGGTGGCTCCCTGGGTCAGGAAGTATGCCTCCTAACAGCCACGTGGCCTAGAAAAGCAGCCTGATGGCCAGCCAGTGTGTTAAGTTCCCGTGTCATTGCCTTGCTTTGTATGAGGCTTACCCGCCGTGTGCACTTCGTCTATGCTCACAGGCTGTCTCAGGAGTGGAGCAGTTTATGTTTGGAGATGTAAAGCCAAGCACCAAAAAAATGAATGAGCATTTGTGGAGGCCAGAGATGCTCACCCCCACCCCAGGCTTCACTCCTATCCCTTGCAGCCAGTGACACATTAGCATGCCATTTGCAGAAATAGCCCTCTCCGATTTTCTCCTCTGCACGTGCCCTACCTGACATCAGGGGTCTACTTCCCCACCCCTTCCCCCACCTAACAAGATTTCATTTGATAGAAGGAATGTACTCTTAGGTATCATTTGCCCTCGTATATTACTTTGGTAATTTACATTTTTGTGATATGTCTCTTTATAGAGAGTAATACTAGTCTACAGTCTGTAAAGTGAGATTTTTGCCAGTAAACTCAATTATATAACGTGGTACATTGGCTGTGTCAATGTTCTGCTATGGTGAGACATCCTTTAGCGGCACCAGATTGTAGTCTGGAATGTGAAGAGGCTGTTTCAATAAGGAGAATAGGCTGTATTTGGGTTTCATCTTCTGATCCAGCTCCTATCTTTGGGTTCGGTGGGAACCTCATCACCAGAATGAGGAATATCTTTTCTAGGTCCTTCCACATCTCCCGTGAAAGTTCCTTCCCAAGTGTCATTTGCTGCCTGTTTTTCATTTTAGATCACAGATTCTGCTGGCCATATCCTGTACTCCAAGGAGGATGCAACCAAGGGGAAATTTGCCTTTACCACGGAAGATTATGACATGTTTGAAGTGTGTTTTGAGAGCAAGGGTAAGTAGGCAGTGTTTCTCCTGGACCAAGCATCTTCTCACCACTGTAGTGCCCTCTGAAGTCAGGGCCTGGCTTCCTTTCTCGGTTTGGCAGGAGGAACTGGTTATTTGCTGAAGCTCGCACACATAAGTGAAAGCTGGCTCATGAAGTGTGCAGGAGGATGCCTCTCTTGAATGCTGTGATAGCTACTAAAGGAGCCCTGGTGGCTTAGTAGTACGTGTTGGGCTGCTGACCACAAAGTCAACAGTTCAAAACCACCAGCTACTCCATGGCAGAAAGACAAGACTTTCTACTCCCATAAAGAGTTACAGTCTCAAACTATCAGGGTTAGTTCTACCCTGCCCTATCGCGTCGCTATGTATCAGCATCATTCAATGGCGGTGAGTTTGGTTTTGGGTTTGGTGATCGGCTAGCACTGAATCCTAGAGTTGAATTTGGTTTAGATATTGGGAAATAGTGTATTTCCTTGTGCGCGACATGGTCTCTCAGGGATTAGAAATTGGGTCTGACAAACCACACGGGGCCAAGTCAGAAGCAGCTGTGGTCTCCTGGGTGCTTGCCGTGCCCTCATCCTGACACCTTGACGTGGGTTCTTCCATGCATCTCCCGGCAAAGATCCCACAGTAACTTTCACACTGATTGATTTCATGGAGGCTTCTGTGCTCAGGAGTGAGTAGAAAAGCAAAGAGTTTGCATTTCCTAGTCTTTAGCTTCAAGGACAGTAGGCCCTGAGAGTTGTGTGCAGTGTCTATTAGTTGAGATCCTTTTGGACTGCAGTGCACATCAAAGAAATAGCTCAGACAAAATAATAATTTATAAACTATCAAAGGTTCATGAGGGGAGGGGGAACGGGGAGGGAGGGGAAAAAATGAGGAGCTGATGCCAGGGGCTTAGGTGGAGAGGAGATGTTTTGAGAATGATGAGGGCAATAAATGTACAAATGTGTTTTACACAATTGGTGTATGTATGGATTGTGATAAGAGTTGTATGAGCCCCTAGTTTTTAAAAAAAAGCTCAAACTTGCTGAAAGAAAAAGGATAGAAAGGCCAGTTTGACTCTAAACCAGGAAGTTCATGTGATGTGGCTGGCTATTAGACATGACTGGATCTTGGAATTTTAACAGCATCTAACTTTTGCTCTCCTTGCCTCCATTTGATATTATTCTTACGCTCTGCCCATATGATAGCCAAGGGATTTGTGGCTATTGTAGCTTTATGGCGTTCAGAACAGGCTTTGAACTAGTTGTTCCCGGTTCAGTTATGAGCAACAAAGTGAAACCAGAATGGACCAGAATTTGTAAAATGTGAGTGTACTGGAATGGGAAAAATTGCAGGTCAACGTTCTGCTAGAAACATAATTTTCTTAGGAGGCACATGGCAGCATGCACATTGTGTAGCACTCAAATCTCTTGACCAGTGGAGTTGGAAATACCAATGCCCTGCTCACAGATGGCAGCTGGCCATGCTGCCTTGAATGCTTGCGTTCTCCACGTCCTGGCCAGTCGTCCAACCTCAGACTCCCAAGCAGCTCACGGTGACCTCTTGTGAGGCTACCGTTTTTCTTGTTCTGGTATCATCCCTGTACACCTGCATTTTACAAATTTGGATTTGTTCCAGTTTTGCAGGACCAGCTGTACTTGAAGCCGTTCAAACTGGTTTAAAGCTCTGGTTCACTATGTGATCATTGAGGAAGAGCAGACACCTTGGCCAGTGTCGCTGACAAATTCCCAGGAAGTGTCCAAACAGCAGATCAACTAGCTGATGTTGAAAGTCATGGGGCATGCCATTAGTTTCCTAACTGACATCCCCACTTTGACTCTATCCAAACATTGCTATCGGATTTACCTCCTAAAACACGTTTTTCATCATGTCAGCCCCCTTCTCGTGGTAGTTACGTACCTATTGTATAGAGTGAAACCCAGAAGCATAGGATTTGGGGGCTAGAAGGGATTTTTAGGCATCAGGGCATTTAATGGTCTTTTTAGTCTCATCCCTGCTTTATTTTGCCCTACCCATTGGACTGAGCCAGCCTGGTTTACTCTGCCTTTGAAACACGTCATGTGTGTTCATTTACTGGAGGCTCCTCTTCCCACATGACCTTGATTTTACCTTTAGTTAACAGCGTGCCATTCTAGCTACCTTAAGTTCTCACTGACGGATCCCTTCAGCAATAGCTAGTAGGTGTTTTTTGATGTGCCAGGGTGGTGAGGGGTGCGTGGGAGTGACTAAAATCAGAAGTCCTTACTCTGAAGCTTACGGTTTTTTTGAGAGACATAAACAGTGACGATAAATGTAAGTCAGGTGCTGATTTGGGCTTTGCTGGAAAATAAAGCAAAGGCTTTGAGGCACTGAAACGTCTCAAAAGCAGCAAAGGAAGTGTGATATGCTCTTTTTTTTTAAATCATTTTATTGGGGACTCATACAACTCTTATCACAATCCATACATATATCAGTCGTATAAAGCACATTTGTACATTTGTTACCCTTATCATTCTCAAAACATTTGCTCTCCATGTAAAGCCCTGGCATTAGCTCCTTATTTTGTCCTCCTCCCTCCCCAATCCCCGCTCCCTCATGAACCCTTGATAATTTATAAATTGTTATTTTGTCATATCTTGCCCTGTCCGACGTCTCACTTCACCCACTTTTCTGTTGTCCGTCCCCCAGGGAGGAGGTTATATGTAGATCCTTGTCATCGGTTTCCTCTTTTCAACCCACTCTCTCTCTACCCTCCCAGTATCGCCACTCACACCACTGGTCCTGAAGGGATCATCCACCCTGGATTCCCTGTGTTTCCAGTTCCTATCCGTACCAGTGTACATCCTCTGGTCTAGCCAGACTTGTAGATATCCTCTGTTTTTGTCACTTACTGGTTGGGTTTTTAGTTAGACATTTTGGATCACTAGTTCAATTGATGTGTTTATTGAAAAATAATATCTTGTGTTGTTTTAATGTAATGTGTATACATCTTACATGCCCAGTTATATTTTGAATTCTGTGAAGGCAGAGACTGTCTTTTGCTTTTTCTAAATTGCTTTTCTGCCAAAAAAAACAAACTCGGTGCCTGCCATCTAGTCATTGGGACTCAGTGACACTCTGTCGGGCATAGCAGAACTGCCCCTGTGGTTTTGTGAAATTGTAAATGTGACAGGAGTTGAAATCCTCCTCTTTCTCCTGTGGAGCAGCTGATCGTTTTGAACTGCTGACCTTGAGGTTAGCAGCCCAACTCCCAGTCTACTATGTGTCAGGTAAATGTGCCCCAAAGAGACAGTACCATGGGGTCTTTTAATAAAGAAGGAGACTGTTAGGGCCATGATGTCAGCTGAGCTGTTATAAGTGAAAGACGATAGTGTGGACTCTGATGACCAGCCAGAGGTCTGTGGTTTCGCCGTTCCACTTGTCCCTGAATAATGCTAATGCTGTGCTGTGGCAAGCGACTGATTGTGGGGCAGTGTCTGTTGGAAACAGGATACCTTGCACCTTTGGAGTTTGGAGTTTGGATTTCATAACTTTTTTCAATGAGAAAGAGAAAATAAGACTATGCATTGCATCTCTTATGGGTAGTGCTTTTGATAAGAATTACACATCAGATTTGGGAAAATTGGGCTCTTAGGTGGGGTGTGTGTGTGTGTGTGTGTGTGTGTGTGTGTGTGTGTTGTTGGTTTGACCCTCAGAAGACATCTGTCGTAGTTTTCTTCTTTGAATTTTCTGTTTCGTTGTTGGGAATACACACAGCACAACACATACTAATGTCACAGTGTCTACACTGCCCATTGAGCAGCGTTGCCCACACTCTGAGCCGTGCGTCTGCCCTCACTCTCCCCTTTGGAGTACTGGGCTTCCTTACCGTAAACTCATTATTACCCTTATTGATCGGTTCCTGTAAAATGCCAGCAGGGTCACTCAAAGCGAACACCTTTCAGTGAGCTTCCAGATAGAGAACAGACCATGAAGAAGGCGTCCACTGCCCACTTTGGAGGAAGTAGCCACTGTCAAGCACTGTCAAATACTGAAGGCCTAATGATTGGAAGCAAAACATTGTCACGAGATTGTGCCGGAGAATGGGCCTCTTGGGTCCGAGGGTTCTCCAAATGTGGCTGGAGAGCTGATCTCTCAAAGTGCGGGTGATCATGGTGACGTGAATGGAGTAGAGCCTGTGGGGGAGCCTTCAGGATCTTCCTTTGCTGATGTGACACCACTCAAGGTACCGAGAAACAGCTGCAAAACTCCGCTTATGAAAGGAACTTGGAATATGTGAAGTATGAATCTAGCAAAATTGGAAGTCATAAAAAATGAAGTGGAACACATAAAAATCGATATCTTAGGCATTGGTGAGCTGAAATGAGCTGGTATTGGCCATTTTTAATCATAAAATCAATTTATTTACTATGCTGCGAATAACATAATCAAGAGGACTGTCCAAAAACGGCATTGCAAAATCAATCATGAAATACAATGCTGTGATAGGATTATATCTATCCACATATAAGAAAATCCAATCAGCATAACTGTTATTCAGATTTATGCACCTACCACAAAAGCTAGTCCTAAAGAACTTGAAGAATTCTTCTAGCATCTTCAGTCTGAAATCGATCAAACATGCAATCAAGATGTATTGATAATTATTAGCGATTGGAATCAAAAGTTGGAAACCAAGAGTACGGACCAGTAATTAGAAATTATGGAGTTTGTGATGCAAACAAAGCTGGAGATCACCCCAAAGAATTTTACAAGATTAACGACTTGTTCATAGCAACTATACACCTGAAATACACAGAAATCAGATTTACTAAATGGCTGAGAAAAGACCGGAGAAGCTCAATATTAGCAGCTAAAAAACAGACCAGGTGTTGACTGTGGGTTAGACCATCAGTTGTGCATATGTAAGTTCAGGTTGAAGCTGAAAATTAAAGCAAGCCCATGAGAGCCATAATATGACCTTGAGTCTATCCCACCTGAATTTCGAGAACATCACAAGAAAAGATTTGACACATTGAACACTAATGACAGAAGGCCTTTGTGGGAGGATGTCATTCATGAAGAAAGCAATAGGTCATTAAGAGGAAAGAAAGAACAGATCCAAGTGGATGTCAGAAGAGACTGAAACTTGCTCTCCATTGTAGAGTAGCTAAGGCAAATGGGAGAAAGGATGACGTCAAAGAGCTAAATAGAAAACTTCAAAAGGCAGCTCAAGAAGACAAAGTCAAATATTATAATGAAATGGGCAAAGGCCTAGAATTAGAAAGCCTAAAAGAAAGAGCACATTCCGCGTATTTTAAACAGAAAGAGCTAAAGAAAAAATTCAAGCCTCCAGGTCCAGTATTCTAAGTCATACTCCTATCGAGTATTCAATAATCTTGGATGTTCTATTCAAGATTCTGTTGGCAAAATATTGACTGACGCAGAAAGCATGAAAAGAGCATGGTAAGAATACGGAGTTACTGCACCAAAAGAACTAGTCCACATTCCACCGTTTCAGGAAGTAGCACAAGAGCAAGATCCAATGATGATGAAGGGAGAAGTTCAAGCCACAATGAAAGCATTAGCCAAAAACATGGCTCCAGGAATTGGTGGAATACCAACAAGCTGATGCAGCACTGGAATCACTCATGAATGCCAGGAGCTTTGGACGACAGCTACTTGGCCAACTGACTGGAAGAGATCCGTATTTGTACCCTTTCCAAAGAAAGGTGACCCATAGAATGCTCACACTAGAGAACAATATTACTGATGTCGGATGCACGTAAAATTTTGCTGAAGAACATCCAACAGTGGTTACAGCAGCTGCCAGAGGTTCAGGCTGGATTCAGAAAAGGACATGGAACAAGGGCTATCATTGCTGATGTTGTATGGATCTTGAATGAAAGCAGAGAATACCAGAAAGATGTGTACTTGTGTTTTGTTGACTCCGCAAAGGCATTGGACTGTATGGATCATAAACTATAGATAGCCCTTGAGAAGAATGGGAATTCCAGAACCTTGCATTGTGCTCACTGGGAACTTGCACATGGATCAAGAGGCAATTGTGCAAACAGGACAAGGGGGGGATGCTGCTTGTTTAAAATCAGGAAAGGTGTGTAAAAAGGTTTGTATCCTCCCACTGTACTTATTCGGGATATGCTGAGCCTATCATCAGAGAAACTGGCTTCCATGAAGAAGAACATGGCATCAGACTTGGAGGAAAATATACGAACAACCTGCCATATGCGGACGACACAACCTTGCTGGCTGACAGTGAGGAGGACTTGAAGCACTTGCCGATGACGATCAAAGATGGCAGCCTTCAGGATGGATGATGACTCCATGTAAGGAGACCAACCAAATTCCTCACAACTGGACCAACAGGTAATTGCATGATCAATGGAGAAAAAGTTGAAGTTGTCAACGATTTTTGTCTTGCTTGGATCCACAATCAGTACGCATGGATGCAGCAGCCAGATCAAAAGACAAAGTTGCATTGAGTAAGTGTGCTGCACAAGACCTTAGAGTGTTGGAAATCAGGGAGGTTACTTTGAGGGGTAAGGTGCCCCTTGACCCATCACCTCATACACATGTGAACGTTGTACAGTGAATACGGAAGACAGAAGAAGAAATGATTCATTCGAATTGTGCTGGAGAAGAATATTGAAGTAATGCACTGCTGAACAGACAAACTGTTCTGTCTTGGAAGAAGTACGGCCAGCATACTCCTTAGAGACAAGGATGGCAAGGCTTTGTCTTACTTACTTTGGACATGTCAGGAGAGACCAGTCCCTAAAGAAGTCCTCTACTGGCTTTGCAACCTGCCACTGTTGTGGGTTGCTGTGCAGTTGATTCTGACTCGTGGCAACCCCACGGTGCAACGTGCAACTGTCGTCCCTAGGGATTTCAGTGGCAGGGAACTCTCAGAATCAGATCGCCAAGCTTCCCTTCTGAGATGTCTCTGGGTGAATTCAAACCACTGCTCTTTCAGCTGATCTAAAGCTTCACTGCCGTGATCATTTCAGTTGCACCAGGCTGCACCTTCTACCTAGAACGTGTTGTCCAGGTTCTACCTGCAGGTGCCCCTCCTTCAGTGGTACCTGTCCACTCTGTATTTTTCACATCAGCACACCCTTAGTGAGATAGTAACATGCGAGAGGTTGCGTGTTTGCAAAAGCCTATAGAACACAACGTTTTCACATATGCATGAAAATGCAGCCGTCTTTTCGCTGACCATCCTTTGTAGCTAGTGTAGCCTGGATCCGTTCTTTTGGCTTATGTGTTCAGTTTCTAGCTGTAGGGTCAGCAGTTCAAAACCACTAGGGGAGGAAGATGAGGCTTTCTACTCTTGTGAAGAGTCACTGCTTCAGAAACCCACGAGGCAGTTCTACTCTGTCCTGCAGTCAAAATGGACTCGACGGCAGTGAGCTCATGGGTTACTTTGTTTTAATCGTTTTATTAGGGGCTCATACGACTCTTATCACAATCCATACAGACATCCATTGTGTAAAGCACATCTGTACATTCATTGCCCTCATCATTCTCAAAACGTCTGCTCTCCACTTAAGCCCCTAGCATCAGCTCCTCATTTTTCCCCTCCCTCATGAGCCCTTGATAATTCATAAATTATTTTGTCATAGTTTACTTTTTTAATGTAATCATATGGGTATGAATGTCTAAGATCCCACTGAAGTATTTCAAGACAAGACCGTATTCCTTAAAGCTCTCTGGCACAGTTCCTGCGCTCAGTGAGTTCTTAACGAGGGGTTATTGTGATGATTTCCGTCCATTTCAGAAAACCTCCCAGGGCTCTGACAGCAGCGGGCCTCAAGAACCTGGTGACACTGTATTTCCCCCAAACACCCTCCAGATTCCATCGCGAATTCCAGGGGACTGGCTGGGCCGTTTTGAGAGATTCTTTTGATCTTTCTCTTTCTCCTATTTGATGACCCTATTAGATTTTTCTTTAACATTTTCACATTTGAAATGTTTATTCGCTTGGCTTATTCACTGCAAACACACATCAAACAATCTCACAATCTTAAAGCTAACTTCAATGATTACTCTGAAGGTAACACAATCAATTCAGCATCATAATCCCGTTAAGCATTGCCTTCCTCGGTGCCCTCCCCTGAGTAGAGTTGTAGACAGCAGGAGTTGATGTCTCCTTGCTTCCTCACTCTGAATTCTCAGTCTCTCTACCCAGGTTCATATAGGCAGCTCAGCTGGCAGATTTTTTTTGTAGTCAGTGATAGTCATGTTTCTACTGGGAACATTGCTGTGTGGGTCCTGCTTTCCCTACTGGACGTTTCTCTTTCTTAGCGCATCCCTGAGGCTAGCGCTCTTGCAGTGCTCCTCTGCTGGATTGTTCGGATGCTTGGGATAGCCCTACCTAATTTTACTCACCTGGTGAAACTGATTTTATATTGCTCAGAATGTTTGAATTAAAGTGGAATATTGGATAAAACCTCTGTATCAGGAAGAATCTAAGCCTCGCACATACCCAGCAATCCTAACCAAGCATCACTGCCCCACAAAATCAGACAGGACAGCCTTTCCAGATGTGGAACCATTATCCTCAGTCAGTTTGGTACCTAGTGCCTCTTGCTCCCAAGGCCACTCAATTTCAGATTATTTGGCTTTCGCTTGTCATCTCCTGCTCCCAGAAGCCTTCGCCCCTTCTCCTCTCCCGTCTGCGCACTGGGCCAGCTGCAGTGTCTTGTGTCCTGCCCGCTCGCAGATGGTTGCCAGGAGCACGTACTTGTTGCTTTCCGGCCCCCTGCACAGATAGAGGCTTTGTCTGGACTGCCTGTGATTTCAGCCAGCGCCAGGAATTTTCTGCAGCTGAGTGGGGATGGGGGGGGGGGGGGGAGCGGGGGAGCAGCAAGGGAGTTGAGCCTGTTTCCCTCTATTGAGAATGTAAGGGGGAGGGAGGGTAGGTGGGTGATTTCCCGGAATTTTAAGTATTCCGAACAATGAATCCTTTGACTTCTTTTTCAGGAACAGGGCGGATACCTGACCAACTCGTGATCCTAGACATGAAACATGGAGTGGAAGCAAAAAATTATGAGGAGGTAGGTCCCACGCTGTCACAGCCAGAGGAGGAAACGGCATGCCAGGTGGAGAGTATGACCTGGTCAGGCTGGTGGCTGCGTTTCATTCTCTAGGCCGTGTTTTCTCAGCAGCCACGTGGTAGCCAGCCACAGTTGGAAGGACCCAGAAAGTTGTATTAATAGCCTGAACAAGAATTTTGACTGTGTTGTCAGCCGGAGGACTGCCCACAGACAGAAATGTCAGCGGGAGAAAACATTCAGGCACAGATAGCTTCCTTGAGGGAGAAACATTTCCGGCGCCCTGACAGCTTTTAAAGCCTAGAATTCATTTACAAGGGGCTTCCCAACATTTGTGGGGAAATTCTATTCTGTCTCATTCCATTTTGGCTGTACTTTTTCTACAAACCTTTTGAAGGCCCCTTGAATGGGTTAATGTCCAAGGTTAGGACAATTTGCTTTTCAGTCCTAAGCTTTTCCCCCAGGACTGACAGCTGTAGGTCCTCCCAGAAGGCATGGACTTGGTGTTGCTGTGAACCAGCATGCCCTTTCGGAGAAGTGCACTAGTCAAAGGTAGTTTGAATTCAAACAGTTTTTACATGATTGAGGAAGCTGGCAGAGTGGAGGAAAAGGCTGTAAGAAACTAGAGATGTGATCATAGAAACGTTGTTGCTGGCAGGAAGTACCGAAGCGTAGGAAAAACAGCCTTTGGTTTGTTCGGATGGTGGGGAGGTGGAGGTGTGCCTGGATTAAGGAGGATGGAGCTGAGCCTTCTTCCTCTTAGTGATGGAGAGGTGCTGGGGACCACACCACATAGTTCATCAGATGAAGAGCAACTTTGAGAACCCACAAGGCCTGTTTAAGACAGGAAGATTAATATTTCCAGAAAGATGAAGAGGATTTTTACCTAGCAAAATTGTACCTTAGGGCCCGAGGAGGAGTTTGAGTTTACAGGAAACGTATGTGGCTTTTGAAGAATGAACTAAATATTAAGGGAGAGATGTTCTTTTAGGTGATCGAAGATAATTTTCTGGGAATGATGGGACAGAAACAGAGTTGCTCTGTCTGGGCAAGACTGGGAGGGAAGTTGCCTCCGTGGGAGGACGCGGGAAGCCATGTGCACTGGCAGCTCCTGCAGCAGCAAGTGCCACCGCCGTTGTGATTCCTTTAAGTTTTATTGACATAATTCAGTGTTTTAAACATATTTAAAAGAGGTGTATAGTCACCACCACAATCAAGTTTAGAACATGTTCTTCTCTCGTGCTCATTGTTAAGAGTGCTTCGTTTCCCCTCAGCCTCCCCTGCCATGACCCTCAGAAACTGTGAATTCAGTTACTGTCTCTCTAGATTTACCTATCCTGGATTTCACTTAAAGAAAAAGCATACCCCCCCAACCAAAAAAAAAAATACCATAAATAAATATATGCAGCAGAGAAAATCCTCAATCAAAAAGAAATCAGAAAATAATAAAAACCAGAACAAATTTAAAATGGGTGAAAGGGAGAACAAATAATAAAATATTAACTTTTAACCTAACTACATCTGCATTCATCCAATTTCCATTGTGCTCTCTGTCTGATAGCAAGACCACCCACCATCCCCAACCACTGGTGAGAGGGGATTCTCCAGAGGCTTAATTCATATGGGAACCCTGCAAATGGATTTTGGGCTTTTTTTTTTCTTTCTTAATCATTTTATTGGGGGCTCTTACAGCTCTTATATAACAACCCATACATCAATTGTATCAAGCATATTTGTACATATGTTGCCATCACTATTTTATAAACATTTAGTTTCTATTTAAGCCCTTGTTATCAGCTCCTCATCCTCCCCCCCTCCCTCCCTCCCCCGGATTTTGGGCTTTCAGTGTCATCCACAGCCTTCTGCAAACTGGGTGCTCAGGATTTAAACTCGAATACAGCCCCTCCATCTTGCAGTTTATCATTGTGGTTCTTGAGGATTTCCACACACACACATACACACCCTTTCCCTTTTCCTTGTTGAAGCCAGTTGAAAGGAATTGGATTGAGTTACTTGCAGGCAATAAATAGGAGCAAGTGATACAGTCATGAGTGGAAGGCTATTCCTGATAGTGACTTTAAATTGTTTGTTTCTGTCCCCAGACTAGTTTGATTAAAAGAAAGAAAGCAGGAGTCTTTTAATTGGATGGATTTAAGAGGAAACTAAAATATTGGTAAATTTTCACGATTCAAAAGAATCCGAATGTTTAAATAAGCTACCTCGTAAAGTGCTAATGCGAGGTATAAAGCACTAGGGAAATGATGCTGTCGTTCTTATGTGGTAGAAGATAGGTAAGTTGATTTTTAATTTGTGGTTACTGCTGCTAATCCCCACTTTTGTATCAGTCTCTAAGCAAGCTAGCTTTGGATTCCTCTCTGTGGAATTTCACCCTTTTCTCCAACATGATGACTATCATTATGTGGTTTTAAGTACTAGGCTCCCTGATACCTTGTTAGACATTAGATTTAGCTTGTTTTCCTCTAAGAGAGACATAGGTCGTCATCGTGGGCTTACCCCCCCTGTACCTCCTGGATGGAGGGAACCCTGGCTGCTCAGTAGCTAAAGCACTCAGCACCCCCCAACCCCCCCACAAGAGAATTCTGTGGCAGTCGGCTTCTATAACCATTACAGCTTTGCTGTCCGGTGTGGTTGCTCTGACACGGAATTGACTCAATGGTAGGGGCTTGGTTTGGATACCTTCTGGGACTACCATAATCCTTGGGCTGTGTTGGCAGTGGGAGGGGTTTTATCTGTCCTGATTTTAGCCCAAGAAGGGAATCCCAAGCTTAAAGGAAACCCCTTCACTTCCTCTGCTTGCTTCCTGCCTCTGATGTCTGGCACGTCCCAAGCCTGACGGTGCACATGTGGTTGCAACACAGCTCTCTAAGATTCAGCTTCTTAACCAAGACATTCTTACCCACTACTCTCCCCCCTCCCCAGTGCAGCAGGCCAGGTTGTGGCAAACAGGAGTGATTATTACCCAGGCTGAAGCCCCAACCTTTTCTCAATCTACGGTTAGACCCTTGAATCTTGCTTCGAAATGGCTGTTATCTCTGCGCTAGGTCTGTGTGTGGCAGGAACCTAAGTAGTCGCAGCACTTGTTCCCTAGTTAATGACTAGAGAGCACTGAACAGCTACAGAGATCTGGGAGCTGTTCATTCTAGGCCCTTGGGATGATGGAGAGCCTTTTTCTCTAGAGGGTCTGGGTCCCTTCGGCATCAGTGCTACAATGTAGAAGGTGGTACATTAATCTTCTTTGGTTCGTGTTCAGCATCTCTGTCCTCTGCGTGTATGGCCTGCACCCTACTGCAACCCATGATAAGAATGAGCCCTGGAGGCGCAGCAGGCTACACTAAGCTGCTAGCCACCAGGTCTGCAGAGAAAGGTGAGGCTGGCTGCTTCCAGAGAGATTTCATCACAGGACCCCACAGGAGCACTCGTAATTACCCTGTCCTACAGGATCACTGTGAGTTGGAATCACCTCGATGGCAGTGAGTGAATGACGTGGTTCTGTAAAGTTATATAGCTGTCAGTGTTTTCATGGCAGGGGAGGGCTCCCCTCTTATCTACCTGAATTGTAGTGGACGATCTAATTTGTTAATGCTCATGAAATTGCCTTGTAGACACACTACAAATGTAGGATGGTGTTATTTGGAAGGCAGACTGCTTGGCCTATTATAAAGAATCATAAGGTCTTGTGATTTGAATTCTCTAAAAAGAAAAAAATGCCTATGTCATCAGACGTAAAACCCTTTGAATTTCCTGTTCTGTTTTTTAAGGATCTCTGGCCACTGTCTAAGGAGCATAGTGGTTCCGGGTTGGGCTGCCAACCACAAGGTCAGCTGTTCGATATATCACTAGCTACTCTGAGAGTGAAAAAAAAGGCTTTCTATCCCCATAAACAGTTATCATCTCAGAAACTCACAGGGGAAGTTCTACTCACCCTATAGGGTTGCTGTGAGTCAGCATCAACCCAAGCAGTGAGTTCCATTACTTTGATAGCTTTAATAAGAGCCCTGGAGGCATGTGGAGTAAACGTATTAGGTTGCTAATCCCACTGTCAGCAGTTCTAACCCACTAGCCACTCTAAGAATGATGAAGCTTTTTGCTTCCATAAAGATTTACATCCTCAGAACCTGCCGGGTGTTTTCGTTTTTTGTTTTTTTTGTTTTAATTTCAAAATAAGATGTGTGCCGTGTGCATAGGAATTTGTTCATAGTTTTTTTTTAAAAACTATAGTCCAGCCCTCCAACGGGTCTGAGGGACAGTGAACTGGCCCCCTGTTTTAAAAGTTTGAGGACCCCTGCTTAAGAGGGTATTCTACTCTGACCTGTTTGATCTCGTGAGTCCTAGGGAATTGGCTTGGTAGCTTTGAGTTTGATTTTGGTTTGAGATCAGGGTCGTGCTGCCCCCTAGAGGAGAACTGAGGTTACATGCTCCTTCCAGCCATGATCTGCCAGCCTTTATGAGTCAAATTGACTCAATGGCAGTGGGTTTTGTTTATTAAAAATGGAAAAACTGACCAGGGTAAAAGTCAGTGGGAATTTGAATATCAATGTCTTCCTCTGAGCTTTTTATACCAAGAAGTCTTGATTGTAGTAATTGACTGCTTAGTTAGGCAAGCAAAGCGGGTCTTTTTGAAAATGCTTCTTGTTTAATGAAAAAAAATAAAGTGGAGAATAATGTACCCTATGCTCCCATTATTTTAAGTTGCATATTTCTGTAGGCATGTTGGCAGGTGCCATTGAGACCCTGTGTACAACACACCTGGTCCTGCACCCACTTCAAAACTGTTACTGTGTTTCAGCCCATTGTTATTGCCACTGTGTCAGTCCATCTCCTTGAGGATCTTCCTCTTTTTCCCTGGCCCTCTGCTTTACCAATAGTAAAGTATCCCCCAGGGACTGGTGTCTGTCAAGTAAGGCCAAAGTACAGGAGACAAGCCTCACCAACCTCCCTCTCAGGAGCATTCTGGGTGTGCTCCAGCATAGCTTTGTGTGTTCTTCTGGGAGCCTTTGGTATAGCTAATATTCTTCACCATCGGCATCATCTAGAGACATTAATTCTTCTGTATTCATTGTCCAGTTTTAATGAAGAAATATTCTGCAGCAGATCTACTCAATGCAATACATCATTTGATTTCCTGACTGCAGCGTCCACAGGCATGGATCATGGATCCAAGTACAATGAAATCTTGCGCAACTTCAATCTGTTCGTTTATCGCGCTGTTGCTTCCTGGTCCAGTTGTGAAGGCTTTTGTTTTCGTGCTGTTGCGTTTTAGTGGGTATTGGAGGCTGTGGGGTTCGCTCCGCGTAAGTAAGGCGTCCGTGCTCCTCACTTGCACTGTCAGCCTTTGCGAATGAGTCTTCAGACATCCCCATGCCATGTTGTTTTTCATACAGTCCAGCTTCTCAAATTATTTGCTCAGGTTGAGTAAGTATCCTACCAAGGATACAACCCTAATGCACACCTGTCATTCTTTGAAACCATGCAGTATCCTGTCGTTCTGCTTAAACGACTGCCTCTTGATCTGTATACCGGTTTCACATGAGCATGAGGAAGTGTTCTGGAATCTCCATTTTCCCGCCATGTTATCCTTGACTCGCAGTCAAATGTGTTTGTCACAGTCAGTTAAACACAGGTAAACATCTTTCTGGTATTCTCTGCTTTCAACCAAGATCAATTTGACACCAGCAGTGATAGCTCTTATTCCATGGTGTCTCCGGATCTGGCTTGAATTTCTGACAGTTCTCTGTCGATAATACTGCTCTCACCACCTTGAATTATCTTCAGCAAAATTTTACTTGTGAGTGATATTAGTGATGCTGATTTAAAATTTCCACATTCTTTTAGATCACCATTCGTGGACTAGGCACAAATGTGCCTAGTCGGTTTTTCCAGTCGGTTGACCAAATTTCTTGGCATAGATGAGAAAGTACCTCAGGCACTGCATTGGTTTGTTGAAATTTTTCAGTTGGTATTCCATTGATTCCTGTAGCCTTGTTGATTAGTTAGTTAGTTAGTTTTGACAGTTCCTTCAGTGCCTCTTGGACTTCTTCTTTTAATAATATTGGTTCTTGATCCTATACCACCTCCTGAAGTATTTGACTGTCAACCAATTATTTGGGGTACAGTGATTCTTTGTATTCCTTCCATGTTCTTTTTTTTTTTTAAGTCATTTTTATTGGGGGCTCATACAACTCAACACAATCCATACATACATCGGTTGTATAAAGCACATTTGTACATTTGTTCCTTCCATGTTCTTTTGATGCTTCCGGCATCCTTCTGCATTTTGCCCTTAGACTTCTTCAGTATTGCCGTTAGAGGCTTGGAGTTTCTCTTCAGTTCTTTCACCTGGAGAGAATTGCTTAGTGTGTTCTTCGTTTGTGGTTTGCTAACACCAGGTCTTTGCACCTATTACTGTGATACTTTGTCTTGAGCTGCCCTTTCATCGTTTCTTCTGTTCCGTTTAACTCCTCTACGTTCTACAGCAAGTTTCAGGGCCCTCCTGGCGTCCATTCGACGAGTCTGTCTTTCTCCTGGTGTGTTGGTCATCCCACAGCTCATCTGATCTTCACTGATTTGTGTTCGCTACATCAAATCTTTTCGTGAGATGACATGTACATACAAAGGCAAAAATGGTGTGTCTTACAACAGGGGCTGGAAAGATAAGCACCAAATTCATAAGCCAGGTTACCTCTGAGAAAGCGCGAACGTGGGGAGCTGTGAAGGTTTTCCTTAGAGAACATACTGTTCTTGTGTTGCTTGTTAACTAGACAGTAATGGAACAGCAGAAGAGACTGGGACTGGGAACCAAGTTTGCGGAGTTGTAATCTACAAATGCCATCGACAGCCCCGGAGTTATCCTCTTATTTCAGGTTGTAGGCTTGCGGCCTATCATTAACAACTACAACAACCAAAACCATGTTAAAAGTAGTCTTCAAAGACGTTTTTTTTTAATGTCATTTTCATCTGGGAGAGCCACAGCCTTAGTTTCACTTCCAGATCCATGTGTAAGTTTCTGTTTAGAAAGCCGTCACCATTTATCTCTAAGAATGCTCATGTCGCTGCCTTTTCACACTGTCTCAGTCAGGAAGCTTTGAAGGGGGAAGTAGAGAGCAGAAAGGAAAACGCTGAACAGGCGAGGGTTCCACCTGAGCACACCATTACAGTGAGGTGGTTCTCAGTCGCCCATGTGGTGATCTTTTTCCTAAGGAATTTTCTATGCTTTACAGTTCTGTATGAAACAAGGTAGCTATTTTATATTCTTAGCACAAGCTGGGATTTAGGTATTCAACTAGCAGAGTTAGCTCAGTTCATTTGTGGGTTGAATCTTATCCCCGGGTAGCTTTAGTCTGGTCCTTCAGCTGTCAGTCACACCATTGACGAGCCAACGTTTTGCCAATTAACCCACATCCACCAAAAGAAAACTTCGGCGGACCAGTGTGAAGCCATCATATTTTGTTTTCCTTCATTCAGCCATCATATTTTTATCCACCTTAAAGACATACTTTTTACATTCCCATTTTTTAAATTATTAAGTACTTTTGTTGGGGGCTCTTACATCTCTTAATACAATCCATACATTCATCCATTGTGTCAAGCACATTTGTACATAGGCTGCCATCATCATTTTCAAAGCATTTTCTTTCTACTTGAGCCCTTGCTATCAGCTCATTTTCCCCCTTACATTTCCATTTTAACAGCAGTTTTTAGTTTTCTTTTACTTTAAATAAAACTACATTTATATTCACACAGTAAGTGAAGACTATAGAGACGCGGGGGGGTGGGGAGGGGACCTTAAATTACTCATATTCGGCCTGTGGTAACTACTGTTGACATTTAACCGAAAGAGTGAACGAGGTGCGTTAGGGAAGCAAGGAGGAAGTGGGGCATTCAGGGAATGCAGTATAACTGGAGAGTGAAGGAGCTGTTCCCAGTGTGGAGAGATTTTAAAAGAACAGCTGATAAGTAAAGGGTTTTCTAAGAGTTGGGGAACTGATGATATCTCGCAGTTTTAAAAGGAAATCCTAGTAACAGTGGGAAGAAAAAACAAGTGAAATCATCTGGTCTCTTGTGCTGTGCCCCTCCATGACAGAGACATTTGGGTCTCACAGTGGTCTGCTTGGAGAAAGACTGGCTGGCACACTGTATGCCTCAAGCATGCAGGAAGGCTGCCAGGGATTTCTTTTGAGAACTGGGCTGTCGTATTGTTTTGTTAAGTGTTTTAAGGCAACGGGTTGCTTTGGTTTGTTTGCAGCAGACCTAGGACTCATGCCTGAGAGCCCTGGTGGCCCATCTGTTCAGTGCTTGGCTGCTAAGTCTAAAGTTGGCTGTTCGAACCCTCCCAGCTGCTCCACCAGAGAAAGATCTGCCATCTGTTCTTCCCTTAAAAAGTACAGCTTTCAATACTGAGAGAGTTAAGGTTTATTGTGCCAACCTGGCCGATGAACACATGTGGGATTAATTGAAGGGCAGAGAGATAAATGGCTCAGTGAGCCTCGCCTTTCCAGTTCTCGGGTCTCTTGCTCTTTGATGGCCGGACCAGGGTGCAGCTGCCTTAGCCAGTTCCCTGCTTCAGCTTGCAAGGCTCACTTCCTTCAAGACATCCTTGAGGAGAAGCCACATGGACCTATCGTGATGCAGCCCTGGGTGCTGGAGCAGCCACGTGGAGACCCCTGCCAGTGCTGAAATGATTACTACACGGTCACTGATTCAGCTTTCCTCCTGCAGCCAGCATCATTGTGTGTGTTTTGTTAGATTGAGGAGAACTTTGTAGATTGGTGTTGGACTTATGGGCTTGGACAGCACTGGGTTGGGATGCTTTCTTAATGTACTCTTATCCTTTAACTCTCTCTTATATACATGAGTTTCTGTGGATTTTTTTCCTTCTAGTTTACCCAGACTAACTCAAATACTCTCTGGGGCAGTTCTACTGTGCCACATCAGGTCAGTAAGAGTCAAAATTGACTCGACAGCACTTCACAACAAGGATAGGACACCTGGAGCTATGAGTTAAACCTTGAAACACTTGTGTACTTAACCAAACACACCAGAATTCTCTCGTCTTAATATTTTGAGTTACAATTTTAATGCAGTAATGTTTCCTTCTTTGGCTCAATTGGGAATTCGGTGCTTTTCTTCTGAAACCAGGTTGAGCCTGATAGGCTGGCTCTCATACTCATTAGAGTAATGATAATGTTTACTTTCTTAGACGTGAGTGGAAGGGAGATGGAAGTGCTTTGTTGAAGTCAGCAGCCCCTGGAATTTGCAGGGGGGGCCTAACCCAGCCGGGACAGCCTTGTTTTTCTGGGTCCCCCAAGTGTTCAGCCTTTGACTGGGTGTAGGCCCAGCCCTTTTCCATCATGCTCTGTTAGTGGAAAATCTTTCTGAATTTTCCTTCTCTGATAAGTCTCTGCTTCACACCAGTTTGGCTTTGGGCAGTTTTTATGGTGTATCTTATTTTACAGCCTACCAGGTAATAAATAGTACTTCAAAAGGGGTTTTAAAGTAAAAGTAGAAAAAGCCTGAGACTTTCAGGCGCCTGAGATTGAACTGTAAGGAAAGGAGGAAGCCTGCATTGGACAATAGGTTCGGATGGTGATAGAAGAGATTGCATTTGCAGACCCTTTTAGAAGATACCGCTGCAGTTTTTCTCCCCGCAGAGCAGTGCTCAGGACCCCTTCTCTTCCAGATTGCGAAGGTTGAGAAGCTGAAACCTTTAGAGGTGGAGCTGCGCCGCCTGGAGGACCTTTCCGAATCCATCGTGAATGATTTTGCCTACATGAAGAGACGCGAGGAGGAGATGCGGGATACCAATGGTGAGGGCCGGCCGCCCTCCTTTTCATCCTCAGTGAGCCCCCAAGGGGACAGACCCTGAAACCTTTGACTCCAGTGTGCCTTCTCGCTGCTGTGTCAGGGAGATGTGTGCAAGGCCAATTGCTTCTGTGCCGTTGCTGCCCAAAGTAAAGACACCGTCGTAGGTGTTCAAGTGACATTTCTTCTGTGCTAGGCCGTTGAACAAAGCTTATAGTCTGTCCATGTGATAATACTAGTTTTTGTTATTGTAAACATTTTATATATATATATATACACATTTAGTCAATCTGAAATCCTACCTCCTACAGAGTGCATCAGTTAATTGATTGCCTTAACAAGCTGAGACTCACTTCATTGCCTTTACAATGCTTTTGTGTTTTTGTTTTTAAGAGTCAACAAACACTCGAGTCCTGTACTTCAGCATCTTCTCCATGTTCTGCCTCATTGGACTCGCCACCTGGCAGGTCTTCTACCTTCGCCGCTTCTTCAAGGCCAAGAAGCTGATTGAGTAAATGAGGCACAGCCCCTCCCACCTCTTATCTCACTCAGCAGAACATCGCTGGAACAGGCCTGACTAATGGCCCGCCAACAGCACCATCAAGGCACGTTGGAGCTTTTCTTGCCAGAACTGATCTCTCTTGGGGTGGGGGGACACGGGGTACCACCTAGACCCAACAAGCCAATGAGGGACTTCTTTTTAACTTGGTAGGATATGGACTGGTTTTTCAACAATAGGTCTCTTAGGGTCACCTTTGGGGGGGAAAAAAACTAAACAGACTCGGGGTTACCTAGATAATGCCAAAGCCAGCATTTGTACTGGGTTTCCTCATGGGATCAGTTTGAACCAGGTTTTCCTTCCTTCTCCCGCTTGCCCAGCTGCTTGGGCTCCTGCTCTTAATTCCTTTACCAAGACCCCTTTGGGTTTCCTTGTGAAAACGCCCTTAGCTTTCACTGACCCTTAGCTGAAATATGTAGATAGCACCTGGTGATAAGCCTTTTCATAACTCTCCGTCTCTCAAAAGTGAAGGATGTGGTGAGGTTTGAACTGTCGCAACTCTTAAAGGACATTTGTTTAGAAAATTAAAATGTTTGTGCTCAACTGCTTGATCTTTGTGCCCCCCTTTTGTGTATGTGTTTTTATTTCTGTGCAGTTTTATCATGGGTACAGATTGTATGATGACCACCACAGTTCCATCACACAGATCCCTCTGCTACAATTTTATAGCCAGAGCCACCTTCCTTTCCCCTCCTCCAAGTCTGGCAACCACTAATGTCTTCACCTCTGTAACGTGGCATCGTGGAATCGTGTCGTGTGCCCTTTGGAGAGGCGCTTGTCTTGAACCTGCCATGCTGTTACAGGTACCAGGAGCTGCTCCTTTTCGTAACTGAGCAGTGCGCTAAGGCCCGGCTGTGTCACAGCTGGTTTAACCGCGCCCCATTACAGCACACGTGGTGCTTGTCAGTTTGGGGACATTGTGAATAAAGCTGCTGTGAACATTTGTGTACGTTTTTATGTGAACTCAGTTTTTTTTCTTTTTAATTACGTAAATGCCCAAGAGGGCAATTTCTGGGTTATGTGGTAAGCACTTAAAAAAAGAAAGAAGTGACCCCAGGCCATTTTACAGTTCCACCAGCAGTGTATGGCTGACCCAGTTCCTCTCCATGGCTAGCATTTGGTATTATATTTAAATTATAGCTATCCTGCTAAATATTGTCTCTCTTAATTTGCATTTCCTTAGTGGAGAATGAGGTTAATCCTCTTTTCAGGGGCTAACTTGCCACAGTGATCTATCTATTATTGTTGTTTGCCTAGTTTCCAATTGCATTCTTTTTAGTTCTGTTTTCTCAGAATTTCTTATAAATCCTAGATAGAAGGATTATGACTGTTGAATATGACTGTTTGAATTTTTAACACAGCTTTTGCCAAGGGAAAAATACAAAGCCCCAGTTTTTTGTGCATTCTTTCATGCTCTGTCTCAAGAATTAAGCGGTTCGATGACATCATCACCAAGGAACTTTAAGGTGACTAAAGGGCAGTATCATTAATGTTATGTAAATGTATGTGTACAAATTACCATAGTCATAAACATTGATAAAACATGCCATCACTTGAAATTTTTCCCACTTCTCTTAGGAAAGTAGATGGAAGTTTACTTTTCCTGTAATTAATCAATCTCTCTGTTAAAAACTCTACGGACTTTTACAAGACTCAGCTAATAGCTAAGGCAAGAATACCAGGATTTAGACCTTGCAGTTTGCAATTAGCAGCAGCATATTGGAATTAACAGAGGACCCAGACCGAGTACTCTGGATAAAGTACAAAAGCAGATGAAGGAATGGAATGAGTTATGTTAAAATCCCAGGCTGTTTGGTTAATGTTCCAGCTACTGTGACCTCCAAAAGTCTTTTTCTTTTAATTTCCTTCGACTCCTTGTATCGATTGCTTCTTTCATTCTCTCATAAATGTGTGCAGCACTGCCATCCACTGTTAGAAACTGGATGGAACTGCTTCAAATGGCCTGGCAGGGGGGTCCTTGCCTTAGGGAAACTGGTGTGGAACAGGTTTACCTGTGGTGCTGTGTTGTATGAAATGCCCAAATAGGAAAAAGAATAAATCAGTGTGTGGGTAACGATCCATTCTTAGACATCTAAAGGTGAGATTCTATTTTGTACCAGTAGCCTAACAGTGTACTCTTTCCTATTTCTGAATGTGCCTTCCCCCTTTTTGGAAGCAAGGAAAGTTACTTCATTGGTGGAGGTTTGTTCTAACAGAATGTCAAGGCTGGAGGAGGAGAAGAGTTTATCTTGAAGTTTTTGTTTTTCCCCTCCGGATGTGACACTGAATTTGAGCTCTGTGACACCGAACTCTTCCTTTGACTCAAGCCAAAATACCAGCTTGGGCATTGAAAGTTGACTTTGTGCTGCCTTAATTTTGTCTAAAAGGCACAGGTGTTTGCCGTTTGATCAAGGCTAGTGCAAGAGCAGATCTGTTTTTAAAAAAATGATGTTATTCTCCATTTTTTTAGCATATTATCCCACAGGGCCTATATAAATGAGAATGATACGTTCGTTCTAAGGATTGTTATACCATCGTCATAAACCTTTATCATAAAGCCATTTTTCTAACTGTTTAATGGAAAAGAGGCAGGTGGGATGTATAACGGTTTACTTGTGATTAGGTTGGGGGGGTTTGTGTAAATTTTTACAAATAAAGGCTAGCAGAAACCATCTTGGGCGTGTTCTCTGTGACTGTGGAGTATGTGTGGATTGACAATAATTCCTCCCTGTTCACCAGTTTTCTTGTTTCCTCATTTATTTCACATGGGTGTAAAGGCGTGGTGCTTCAGTTGTACCTCCTCAGAAAGACCAGGTGGCCCCTGTAAGCCCAGTGTCTCTGCAGCTTCTAGCGCTCCTCGCCCTCCTTCCTAGAGTGCTCCTCTCAATTCAGAGCCCCAGGAGCTTGCTTTTGAGATGCGTCACATTATGCAGAGCCCCACCTCAACAGGTAGAGGCCATTTCTTTCCGATTACTTGCAGTTGAACACTTTTCAATGGCTCTGTTTCCAGAGTCATGAAATGTTTGTATATCACCGACTTACCTCTTTTTCACCTTCTACCTCCATTCCCCACAAAAATCCATAGCCTGTAAAGTAGGCTATGTATAGACTAAGAGGAAGTCATTCTAACAGCGAGGGGAGACCGCGTGGTTTAAAATCCGGAAAGGTGTGAGTTAGGGCTGTATCCTTTCACGATACTTTTCTGTGTGCTGATCAAATAATAAAGCACAGCACAGCATCAGAATTGGAAGAAGGCTTATGAACAGCCTGCGATATGTGGATAACACAACCTTGCTGAAAGCAAGGAGGACTTGAAGAAATTGCTGATGAAGGATTGCAGCCTCAGTATGGATTGCAACTCAGTATAAAAAAACCAAAATGTTAACAGCAGGACCAGTAGATAACAGCTACTAACATAATCAATGGAGAAAAGATCGACGCTGCCAAGCTTGGATCCACAATTATTGCTCATGGAAGCAATAGTCAGGTGGTCAAAGGACACACTGCTTTGGGTAAATCTGCACAAGACCTCTTTAAAGTATTGAAACACAAGGAGGTTAATTTGAGGACTCGGGTGCCTGACCCAAGCCACTGTATTTTCAGTCACTTCCTATGCATGTGAGAGTTGGACATTGAATAAGGAAGACAAGAGAAGAACCGTGCATTTGAGTGGTGGAGCTGGAGAAGAACATTGAAAGTTCCGTGGACTGCCAGAATAAACAAGTCTTTTGGAAGAAGTACAGGCAGCATGCTCCTTGGAAGCGAGGATGGCAAGACTTCTTACCACATACGTACTTTGGTCATTTTATCAGGAGAAACCAGACAGCATGCTTGGTAAAGTAGAGGGGCAGCAAAAAATAAAGACCCTCGAGATAAGCTGGGCATAGTGGCTGCAACACTGGGCTCAGGCATAACAGTTACGAAGGTGGAGCAGGACCGGGCAGTGTTTTGTTCTGTTGTGCACAGATGGGGCCGCTAGGGGTTGGAACTGACTTGATGGCACCTAACAACAGAACCAGCTGTTAACCTGTTCCAGGCTGGTAGCAGGAAGCCAGGTCCTCGTTATAAAGGAAGGGTGCCAGAGAAATGTGTTCTGGGTTTTATTTTTGTTGTTGTTTTTCCAGCTCTGGCTATTTAGCTTCTCTAGATGAAAATCTGTACTTCGGATTTGGGCTATTTTGTTTGCAACCAAAGGGGGTGGGGGGTAAAAACCCCAATTTACTGAGTATCTTTAATGTGCTGAGCTAAAAGTAAGCTCTGGCATGTACTCAGATGAAGAATGCTTTCTAATTTACAGAAGGCAGCAGCCTCTGTCTGCAACGTGTTCACAAGGGCGTTTGTCCCTCCAGAAAACCTTCAGCAAGTTTACCCACAAAAGTGCCCTTGTATATGCCCTCCTTGAGTGTTGGCCTGTCTTGTTGCAGTGCACGGAATTACTGGATGCGGCACTCCCACCATTAGTGTTTGTATCTGCCACCAAATGGCTGGGAAGGGTGATGTAAATTTGAAGTGCTTGTGGCCCAAGAGAAGTGAATAGCTTGGTAATAGTGTAAGTAAGGTACATACCCTTGTGGGGTGAGACAGTGCAAATAAGTCGTATGGGACCCTAACAAGATTGGTCAGTTTTGCCATCCTCAAGTCACTGCCGTCCAATCGATTCTCACTCAGGCTACCCTTTGTAGGGTCACTGAGACTGCATCTTAATGGGAGCACACAGCCTCATCTTTTCTCCCTTGGAGTGGCTGGTGGGTATGAGCGGCTGAATTACTGAGCCCAGCAGAGAGATTGAGAATGCTGTGGGAGGGATGTTAGAATTGATTTTTTTTTTTTTTTTAAGACTAGAAAGATTTCTCTGACCTCCCCCCCTCAGAGGAATCAAGGCTCAGTTCTGCTGGGTTTAAAATGAGCCATCTCAGAAACAGGAAAGGGGGATTGCTCCACCATCAAAGGGAAGAGCCAGGAGAAATGTGTCCTGTGGACCCCTGAGATCTCTGCACTGACACACTGCCTCCAGAGGTGGAGAACCATGGCAGAGAAGTGAAAGCTGCAGACCCAAGAGCAGGATTCAAGGTGGGTGGGCTTCCCAGTGTCTTTGGGCAGGTTGACTTGCTGGTGGAGTGGTTTGCCTCTAAGCACTTAATTGGGGGGCGGGGGGCAGCTAAGTTTGCAGACCCAAAGAGAGTTGAGTACTTTCAGGCTGAGGCTTAACAGTGGAGTGAGCATTTAATCAGCAGAGTTATACTTATTTAAGCAAGGCAGAGGCCACAGGGCTGAGAAGCCAGGAACTGAAAGCTAAGACTTGCCCGAGCAGCTCATGAGGCCAAGGACCCGGGTGTATCTTGTAAACATGACTGGGTGGAGACTATCCTGACCAAAGAACTGTATCCTGAGAATTCCCAATCCTGGATTATAACCAGTTATTTCCCTAATAAATCATACCATCTCATGAGTATGGTTTGCAAGTTTGGTGTGGCCATTGCTTTGAGTTACCAAACAGGTGAGCAGCAGAGAGCGCTTTGGCAGGAGCAGTTGGTATCCACATTGGTAAAGGAGCTGCGGGCTGGAGGCACATCACACCTGTGCCTCAGAGGAATCAGCCCTGGGCTGATGGTGCCGCTCGTCCCACCTTATGAAGTAAGAAGTGCCCGGTGCCGCCCTCTCCCACCATGACACTTGTAACAGCAGTTAGACACTGTCATTGCCTGGGTTTGGGGTCTGTTCTATGAACTGAAAATAAGTTCCATGAGAGTAAAAACCATGCTTATTTTGTTCTCTTGTGTTTGTTGAATGAAAAATTTTAAATGATCTGTACAATCTACACTTCTGAGATGAAATTAAAAAGTACAAAATTTAAGAGGTTATTATTATGTGGTAAAAATGTTATGTACATACCAGATATGGTTTGACTTCAAGTACTACTTCAAAAAGTTTGCTGAAACATTCCGATCGCAATCTATTTTTCTAATGAATGTTTTGCAGCCCCCTCATATAAATGGCTCCTCATCTTGAATGCTGGTAAGACACAAATGAGTTGTCAAAAAGTATTGCTGCTAGGCTTCCAGGTCCTCTGTGTGTGGTTTGTAGCAACAAAATGTTTAAACATGTTTCTGTGATCATGGATGGCTACAGACAGTGATCTTGGGAACAGACCTGCCGTTAGAGTGCCTTCTAAAAAGATCCAATCAAAACAGCGGCTTCCAAGGGGATCTGCTGGGCTTGCTAAATGCTTTGCCAAAAGGTCAGCTCGGGGGAGGTGAAAAAAAAAGTCAGCTCAGAGGGCTCTGGTGACTGTTTATTGGGATTCTTGATAGATTTTCTTGAAGAGAACAAGATAATCGTGGAGGCGTATGAAGTAAAATGCAGCGGTGTATTGGTGAGAAAAAGGCCAGATAAGTTGTGCTAAGAAATTTCCCAGCACTAAAATGTCCCTGCCCATTCTTCCAGAGTAGCAAGGTCTGTCCCTTACCCCATCCACCATATAGCCCCAATTTTGCCCCTTCAGAGTTCTTTGTACTTTGCAAACACAAAATTTTAAACTTGTTTGAGTCCCTCGAGGATGGTCAAAGATCCTTGAAGCCAAACTGAAGAATGTTAAATTCTGATAAAGAAGGGGGTCTGGTTATAAGGATAGGTGATGAAGTGGTAAGGCATTCAGTTTGTAACTTCAAGGTCAGAAGTTCAAAACCACCAGCTTCTCCCAGGGAGAAAGATGGGGCTTTCTACTCCTGTAAAGAGTTACAGTTTCAACTGGATTAATGGTTCCTTGGGGATATGGCAGGGGAGGTTGGGGGAAGTGGGAAGTTAATAAAGAGCACAAGAATGAATATGTTGTAAAACTGTGGTGATAATTGTACAACTCTTGTTGGATGTGACTGGACTGTTGTATGATTTCTGAATGGTATGCCAATAAAACTGTTGGAAAAAGAGTTAGTCTCAAGCAGTTCTCCTATAGAGTAGCTATGAGTTTGATACGCTAGTAGCATAATTACTATAGGTCCTTGGTGGCACAGACGGTTAAGCACCCTACTACCAGGGGAAAGGGTGGTGGTACACAGCGCCCGGAGCCACCTAATGATTTGCTCTGAAGGTCAGCCTTGAGAACCGCTGGGGTGCACTTTCCTCCGAACACATGGCGGGGCCACTGACAACCACATAGTGCCCATCTTCCTAACGCAGCCTTCCCCACGGCCGC